CTCTCTCTCTCTCATTCTCTCTGTCTCAAATAAATAAATAAAATCTTAAAAAAAAAAAAGATGCATTTTCTTTCAAGTGGAAAAAGTAGTTTTTTCTAAAGCAGACCATCAGCTTCTGGTTATCTGAACACTGCAAAAGACTGTTTTATGTATCTTCCTAAAGAAAGAAGAGCGATTTCGTTTTATCATTGGTGGTACATTCGGTAGTAAAAAGCATTTCTGTATAGTGTGTTCACCAAAACAGTTGGATAGGACCTACCTGAGAACACGGGACAGAAGAATGACAATAATGTCAAGAAAATGCTGCCACAGAATCTGATATTACCTCGCCCATTCTGCAAGCTTTGTCTACTGGAATGGAATCGACATGAACCAACAGACATTTCTCTCATTTTAAAAAGAATAAAACTGACAATGAAGCAAGTCGGTCCCAAGCTGATACAGACAACTTTTCTGGAATTCAGGGTCTGGAAGAATGAGAGGGTTATTCCTTTTGGGTTTTTTACTGGTTCAAACAGATGAAGCTATACTCTAAAGCTTCTCTTTTAAGGCTGTTAGATGAACTTTCACACCATAGATATGAAAAGAGAGACATCTCATCTGAAGATGAAGTTGAACGGGATTAGGAAAGGATTACTCTGCTAGCATGTTGCTCCTATTATACAAAATCCTGAGAGGGGATTTTTTTTTTAAAATTGAGATGAAAGTAAGATGCTTCTCTCAGAAGCTGGGTCTTTACCTTAAAAATAGGAAGAAAAGCAGAACAATATAGGCAGATTATCACCTAATATGCCCTCTTAACTTATAAAGAAATGGAAATATACCTAAAACAAGCACTGAATAATTAAAGAAATGCGTAACACTAAGGGCCTGATTTTAATTTGCATAATTTTTCCCCTAACAGTGCCTAATTAAGACATCAGTTAAAAAAAAAAATCCAATGGAACTCTAAGATTTTCCACACTGAATTAACGTTAAGGACTTTTAATGGATGTCTTAATTAGACTTTGTTATTCATGGAAATTCTACACAAATTAAAATCAGACCTTGTGCGCCCTGTTCCCAGCTGAGTCTAGCAAAATGCTCTATGGAACTGAGACTCTTGAATCCACGATCTGACAGCAAATTTTATTTCTAAACTGATATATTAAGATCCCACTGTTTTACTTAGTAATTCTTATTATAGTCGTCAAAAGTGCTATACCATTTGAACATTTTCTTCTAAAATACAAATGGTTTAACTACAAAGTCACAACTCAAGAATGGCGTATTTAGTTTAGTATTATTAGTCAATAGAACTAAAAGTACAGGTAACTTTTTAAGTAACCCAAATGGTGCTGGCTATGTTGTTATTAAAAATAAAACGTTCAAAAAAGACCATTTTGCTTCATTTTAACAATTACGACCAAAAATGATTTTTTCAGATCTTTTCTTTGTTAATTCTAAATTAATAAGCACATACTATTCACTGGCATTTTAGTAACTGAACAGCATTGATGACAGAATGCTTATGACAATCTCTCAGAGCATTAAAAGATATAATGAGTGGGCAGGAGTCTTGAAGGTAAAGCAGCAATGCCAAATACCAGAACTTAAGATCAAAACTACATTACAGATTTGGGATATTACAATTTGTACCAGCTTTGGTACAAAGCCTATCTATTTGATCATGAAAAATCCTCTTGTATCAAATCACTATGAAGTGACCTCTCTACAGAAGAAGCCACATGTTTAAGGAGTGAGAAAGGCACATGGGTCACTACACTTACACAATAAAAGTCCCTAAAACCACTGCACAATGTTTAAAAAAGAGAGAGAGAGAGAGAGAAAGAAAGAAAAAAGAAAAGACACTTCTGGTAATGTCACTCATTATTAAATGTAGTCATGTCTGTGCAAAGAATATTCAAGTAGTCATCAAACACTGACAATGTTTACATTACCAAAGCTTATTTTAATACCTAATAGTTGGTCTATAAATACAACTGTAAGTTCTTTTGTGTGTGTTTATTTTAGCGCATACCTTGCTCCTGCCTGAAATAAGCACTTTGTCTCTGCATTAAACCAGGTATTTCAGAGGTGTGAACTCCAGCTCTGAGCTTTTTTCAATGTACTTTCTGCATAAACTTTCTTTTCAGTCAATGAAAATTCAAAAACATCAAACCAGAAACGTCTTCACAAATGTGCCCCTTTGGGGCAAGACACTTCCTACCTGTCATTCAGCCACCTTTAAATAAAAACTTACTGAGTCACCAAGAAACTTCCTGAAGATGGATTTCAAAAGCTTGATGTTCTGCCAGACATACCGTCTGAATAAGCTTCATGTCTTAGAGTCAGACCTGTGCCATCTCCCTTAGGCTCTAATCTCATTTGCTCTCTCATTTTTACCTGGCTGGTTTGCGGACTGGATGGGTCATAAGAAGGTACATAGTTCTTCAGAGTATCCTGAGGATTCAGGTGGGGAGGATATCTGATTGTTGGATGAGAAAAGTAGCTCGATGGGGCTGGAGGAAGAATAGCTTGTGTTGGAAATGGCAGCGGTGAGGGTGGAGGCGGAGTTCGAGTCGAGATGACTGCACAGGACAGAAAAGGGGAGACTGATGTCAGCCATGGTGCCCTCTTCCCCGGCCCACCCCCCAGGACCCTGCGAGGCCGCCACGCTGACGGCTCCTCATCGCTTCCCCGTGACCGACCCACACTCCCCTGCAGGACTCCCTCGCCCACACCGACAGGGAGAACACACAGACCCAACCCCACTCTGGGGAACTAGCGATCTGGCTCTCCAGCTCTATGAATGCTTAGACAAAGGAAGTTTCTCTTTTATAGGTTAAGCCAATATTCCATAAAATGTTCCTTTAAGCAGAGTTATTTCCCATCAGAATACAATCTTTGATCAGAAAGTCTTTGTGTCTTGAGTCCAGACCAACTCACAGCATTCATTAAAAGGCAGGGGCACTCACAGACTTTCTACTGAAATTCAAAACAGAAGTGTACTCCAATTTTAAATAAACATTTTCCCTATACGTCCTAGTGGGTGGTTGGTTAAAAGAGAGGCCAGTAATTAGGAAACAATAATGTGCTGAATAATTACCTGATCATTGGACAAATGCTTATGAACATGTGAACGTAGGGCCTGGGAACTCTTTTTCCTAATGAAAATGTTCCTTTCAAAACCAAAAGAGCTCTATTCTGTAACTATTTTTCTTCCTACTCTTTTATTACATGTAGCTTAAAAGATGTTATTAAGATAAGACCAAGAATAAAACCCACAGAAATGTGAATTTAAACTTTCATATACGCATATTAACTAACCAATAAATCACATATTTTATATATAAAAGGGAAATAATATATAAAACATATGCGATGTAGACAATGTTTAATTGTGCTGTAATTTTCAACATCAGTATGACTAAAATTTATTGTTTAGTTTTTGAAATATAATCCTTAAGTTCAAAAATGGGAAAGAATATAATTGTACAATCATTATCTCTATAATGTTGAGGAACATAACCATGTAAGTACAATTAAGAGTACCAACAAGTATAAGCAGAAATGAAGATTAAATGTCTGTTTCTATTTAATATTTTGATCCAAATCATAGGAAATTACATATGATAAATGTTTAGTGTTTTATGAGACAACTTAGCAAACAATATGAAAAATAAATTCTTTCCATGACCTATTAATGAAAATCATCTGGACTAACTTATCTCCAACTTTGTAATTATGTGCAAAAATATATAATATACTTTTAAAGGGATATTACTTATCTTCCCCAAAGAAAGCTTTTTTCAGAAAATACGAGAAATTAAGAATGTATCTCAGCAAAGAATCATAAATTCAATTTTATGGTCGCAACTTTGTTTCCTGAATGTCCGGGTCACTCGGGATCCTCTGGATTGTTGTTACAATGCAGATTCCTGGGCCTAAACACAGACTACTGGATCTTGACTCCCCCCAGGGGTAAGGCACCAGAAAGTACAGTTTAAACAAGTGCCTCGCGTGATCTTTCCACACACTGAAGTGTGTGCATCCTCTGTCAAAGGGATGCATTTCAGAGAACAATTACATGTTTCTTCAAACGAAACTCCTTTTTGACATACTACTTTGTTGAAGAAATATACACATTTGAAAGTATAATTTAAGGAGATGCAAACACCTAAGTTAAGTTTGGCATCTTTTTAACTTGGTGTTGAAGTGCTCTTAATCTCAGCTAAATGAACACCATGTAACCATGGTCTTTGCCTACATCTGTCACAAACCCTTGAAGAATATATACGCAGCTCCATCTTGGTCCCCCTGGGCTTGAGATCAGTGTGGCCCCAGTAGTTTTGGAAGAGATCTTTGTTCAATGGAACCGGCACATATCAAATCAGGGCTCAGGCTCTGGGATCCCTTGTACTGTGCTCACAGAAGCTGTGGCTGGCCCGATAGAAGATAGTAGAATGAAGTATTTCAAACTGAAAGTAAAAATGGCTATTTCGTATCAATAAAGGTCATTCTAGTCCTTGAAAATAGGAAAAGCAAAATACAGGCAGAAGACATTTCCCTTCATTATGAAAGAATTCATACATGCACACATGTATGTACACGTATTTCCTGCCTACATTAATGCCAAGCCTTCCGGTCTCCTTTCCTCCAGTCTTGCTCCTTCCAATACAGCCTTTATAGTCTCATATGAATGAATTTTGTAAAATGCCATCTCAAGCAAGTCACTTCTCTGCTTAAAATCTTTCAATGGCTCCCTACTGCTTCCAGAATAAAAGCCCAGCAACTTCAAGGGTTTGTACGGTCTTCAAGGGCTATAGGGAACCCGCCCCGCCTCACTTCATGGACCTCAGGTCTGGCCACTCTCTCTTCCCCGGCCACACGGAGGTATTTGTGGATCCTTGGATAGATGGCAGTTCCTTGCTGCAGTGACCTTTCCTGATAACAGGCTGTTCACTCTGTCTGAAACAACCTTCCTCCTGCCTTGTTCTTCCTTCTTGTGGCGAACTCACTCTCTAAACTTCAGGGAAGAACACATCGCTTCCGGGCATCTAATCCTTTTCAAAGTGTCTAGTCCTATTCAGATTTCATGCCTAGCTGATGTGGTCCCTTGTCTCCCTGCTGGACCATGAGCTCTTTAAGGAAGGAAACTGTGTCTCATGACCAAGGTGCCTACCATAGGCCCTAATACATTACATACTAGTAAGTATCTGGTGAAGGACCAAGGTGGAAAGCTTATCTAGGTTTCCATGGTTCATTATATAAAAGTGTACTATTTCATTTTTTCCCAATGTCAGAAATCTGAATATTTTAATCAGGTGTCATAATACATGGATGATTTGACTGCTAAGTTAATTTTGCTCAAATATATTCAACATTACAGATCCATGAAATAGTTACCGATTTTTTTGACCTATTCTAGCAGTACAAACAATACAAATATAAATATTTTATAGCACATTTGATTTGTATACTCCTTTCTTAATTTTATACTTTTCTTAGTGAAGGCCATGCATTTTTAAAGTATAGCAATGATACATATCAACATACACTTAGAGATCAAAGCTAAGGACTTTTTTTTATAACTGAAGTTATATCCTTCGAGTAAAGGTTTAAAAACCAGATTCATTTTGTTGGAAGAAAAAAAAATTGCCTATCTATAAATTTAAAGCAATAAGAGTATTGCTACAAACATATTTATATACAAAACTTTCTCCACCAAAAATTCAGTATACTCCTTTCTAGGGCTCAAGAATAATAGGTAGAAAGTATACAGTATTGTTTATTAATTATATCTCACTTTTAAGTTTTGAAAGGGGATTTAGTTTAATTGTTCTTTAAAGTATAAATGTGAAATACTGTATTATTTTTCTTATGTAAATTAAGATATTAGACATAATATCAAGTGTACTAGCCCACACTTATTTGTGCACCGAAAAAATTGTCAAAGAACCTCTTTTATTTTTCTGATTAATTTCACTCCTAAATAAGTAATTATTGATTTTTGTATAGAAAATAACATCTCTGGAAATAGTGTCTGTATATCTTAATGCCTCTGGAAATACCCCAAACTCAACAACACACTTGAAATTCTGTCTTTCTTTAGTCAAATATATAGAATGGGGACCAATCCTGAAGCTACAGTTAAGATAACTATGTATCCCATATCTTCTAATTTCTTGGGATTGTGATCTTTCCAATAAAGGCAATTAAAAATACATTCACAAATGTTATTTAAGTGAATGCTTTGGAACTCTTTTCTCATATATTGGTTAGAAAAAAAATATTTGATTGGATCACGACCCTCCCTTTTTTGGCTGAGAGAATATGGCCCTGCAGCTCTAAGTAAAACTCTTGCTCCATCCCTGAGAGTGAGCTCTGCAAACAAGGGGGACACTTCTCCTTTGTGCTTGAAACTCCTCACCACTGTGTGCAACTCCAGGTATTCCGGGATGATGGTGCTGGGGGAAAGTGCTCAATCTTGGGGAAGAATCTTGCGGAGATGTAGAGCTGAACAGTGGCTTTTCGGGCTTCTTCATAGTAGTCGGAGAAGACATATCTGCAAAGGAAGAGGGGAGAACCCAAACTTTATGACTTTCTTCAGCTATGAAGTTCACATTAATATAACAAGAGATCTCATTTTCCAACATTTCATTATTTCTGTACTTGGGCTCTTCTACAAAATATGTACTGAGGGTCAAAGACCCAGTTATGTTGGAGATTTGAAATATCTGTCAGAAACAATCTCCACTGAAGTTAACCCAAGGCTTTATTAAAATTATCATTGGAATTATCTCTCCTACTAAATAAATCTTAAACTTTTGAAAAACTAAGTATCATGTTTCCTTTGGCACCTTGGTTCACATCAAGGTCGTTTTTACCTCAGCATTTCATTCTTAGATTTATACGATTCAGGGGTTTGTCTTTCGACCTGCTGACTACACTGTGGAAAAAAACAGAAGAAAACCTGGTGCAAATGTGAAAAACAACTTTTGGGACCACTGGTAAGTCTATCATTGATTTTACATCTTCTATGGAAAACTCATTACTTGTTTAACAAAAAGTACATTCCTTAATTTGCTCATTCTGCAAGTATTTATTGGTGTCCTCTATTTGCCAGGTAAAGTGAGGATGTTACGAAAAATACAAAGTAACTGCTATAGGGATACTCACTGTCAGTGAAGATGAAAATGATAAGAAAATGGCTGTCAACAGTTGAGAGGGAGGAAGCGTGTTGAAAGCAGGGGTGTTGTGTTGTGGTGTTTGCTGGTTTTGCTGCACAAGGGCAGTGACCACCTCAGCCTCCCCAGGTTAAGGAAGATGCCTCAGTGGTGCCATGTTTAAAATGTGGATGGGGATGACACTCCCAGAGAGAGGAAATGTTCTGGAGAATGGAGCATAGAAAACAAGTGGTACAAGTAGTCTGTGGAGTGGTGAAGTGATGAAGTGATGAATGAGGGAGCAAGTAGCTGGCAGGACCCACACAATGAGGGGCCATGGACTTTGTGTATAAATATCTGAATGTCTGCCCTGATCGGGGAGTGCTACTGATGAGCAAAATATGATCACACATTTATAGTTTAAGGCCGTCCCTCTCGAAAGTACATGGAGGATGAGTTAGCCAAAATGGAGACAGCAATCATGGAGACCGCTTGAGAAGACAGATTTATTAATACATCCTTCCATAAATATTTCTTGAAGGCTTAATTTATGCCAGACACTACACTAGTTGCTGGAGACACAATGGTGAACTAGATTAAGTTTCAGCCTCTACAAAACTTTTTTTTTTTAAGATTTTATTTATTTATTTGCCAGAGAGAGATAGAAAGAACACAAGCAGGAGGAGCGGCAGGCAGAGGGAGAAGCAGGCTCCCCACCGAGCAGGGAGCCCGATGCGGGACTTGATCCCAGGACCCTGGGATCACGACCTGAGGTGAAGGCAGAGGCTTAACCTACTGAGCCACCCAGGCATCCCCAGCCTCTAAAAAATTTAAAAACTAGGGAGGGGATACACATGTGCTAAAAAGGAACTATAAAACAGTGTGAAATTGCTATGGTAGATAACACTACCACAATTATCAACGCATAGCCAACCTTATTTCACCTTTACCCCATCTATGCTCCCCCACCCCCCTTTTCACTTTGAAGCAAATTGCAGACAGCACAGTATTTCACTTATAAATATTTCAATTTGTAGCTCTAAAAAAAGAAGTTATTTTTTTAAAAACCTAAAACTTCATCATATTAGATACATATGCATATATATAATATTCATTTTTAATTTTTTTAACAAGAGAAAAAGATCTCACGTGCTGTTTTTAAAAAAAATTTTATGGTGCTATTAATATAAGAAACTAGTTATCATTATGATTTACCATTTGAAAAATTACATAAGCTCTGGTAAAAGCATCCAATAAAATTAAATATGTGTTTTCAGCACATTGGCACTTAAAGAATGGATATGCTACTGTTAAAACAGTAGACATCATAGTCCACAAAAAATGACAGGTGTATCTGTAGCTATAATTTGTGACTAGCTGGCTGTCACTAACCTATCAGAACTTTGATGCATTGGTGAACGATTTCCTTGTATCTTTCTCAAAAAGAAAAAATGAAAGGAAATTGCTAACGAAACCACAGCAATTAATGCTGCTACAAAAGAAGAGAAAAAATGTTGATACCATTTAAAAACAGACCAAAAAAAGTTCATTTCAGCTAAGGTACCTTCAAAATGTCAAAACTAATACTTAATTTCACTTAGAGCTATGTGATTTTAAAAGGTAACACTACAAATATAGGTTTTGGCCTGCTAGAAGCTAATCACAGACATCTAGGTCTTTAGGAGTGGAAAGAACCTTTATTCCAACCCTCATTTTGCAGATAAAGTAATGTTTCTATTCCAAATTTTTAATTTAAAATTAACTATTAGGAAAAGAAATCTACTGACACTCTTATGCTCTACCTGTGCTTAAATACAGATCTCAAAATAAAATTAACCAGTGTAATCAGTTTCTAAAGACTCCATACAGAGGGGCGCCTGGGTGGCTAAGTTAGTTAAGTGTCCAACCCTTGGTTTCAAGGTCAGGTCATGATCTCAGGGTCATGAGATCAAGTCCCTTCGTTGGGCTGCATGCTCAGTGGGGAGTCTGGGGATCTTCGCCCTCTGCCCCTCCCCCCGCTTGCATGCTCTCTTTCTCTCTCTGTCTCTCTGTCAAATAAACAAATAAATCTTAAAAAAAAAAAAAAAAAGACTCCCTGAATGAGTAATAGAGCATTTACTGTACATGACTGAAAAACAATGAAATATGACCAGAGCTTGGGAAGCAGAATGAATGTTATTCTAGTTCTGTCATTTCTGGGGACGTTCCATCAAGGCTATTGCAAATACTGTAACTGTTTCCAAATTTTCATTAAACGTAGCAGGATTCACCTGAGTCACTTTCTGCAAAGAGCACATAAATCAAGGGTGTTTGTCCAGCAGTTCAAGAAGATGGGTGATGACGTCATTTTTGAGAAATGAAGCCTTTGCATTTTCTTACTCAAAATAATGCACTTGGCTTTCCTGGGTAATTATTACAGGTCCATTTATTGTTTGGGTTCTCGTTAGGCATGGACCAAATAATAATGGTACCTTCGTGTTCAGAAAACACAAAGGAATTACAGAGGCCAACACAGCAGAAACAAATTAAAATTCACTCTTCAAGTTGTAAAAGGGACCACAAATTGTCTTCTCAAACAGTCAAGTGAACTTACAACAGTAAAAATAAGAATGAGAAGGTCCACCATCCATACTGAAACTACTTCTTTAGGAACAGATAAAGAATGATAGTGCAGAAAGTGGACTTGACCGCCATTGTCTTCCCACTCGATGAAATTATTTTTGAGCCCAACAGCCAGTGAAGATATACTGGTACCCAGCCTGTGCAAGGCATACGCCAAGTGCGCCGGGGACACAAAGTGACCCCCTCCCCACCACGGTCACAGGAAAAAAAACTCACTGCAACGGAGAAAGAATAAAAATAAAATGTCAACTATCTAGGAGGAGGAAGGGTAGAGTTTCTAGCTATTACATTTTAATCATGAATCAAACTCGTATTGTTTTGATTTTAATTTTATTTTGCATGTCTGCAGTCTAGTAGACCTCATGCCAAACTGAAAAATGATACTGTTTCTATTTTTAATGCACTTCTATGCTACAGAAATAAAAAAAAAAATGTTTGAGGAATGAATATATAGGAGAGATGGTTTGTGACCTTTCTGTGGAAAAAAACAAATGTCATGCTTTTCACAGTGTATTGTCCCTCAAGCCGGAAGAATAATACATAAAAAGATTAAGTTGAAAATAAGTTAAATAAAATAAAGCGGAATAATATATAAATATATAATAAGTTGAATAATAATACAAACATAATAATGCATATGTTGAATAATACATGAAATAAAGAAGTTGGCAAGAGAAGCAAGATGATAAGAAAAGGATTAGCCCGTGTTTCTAGTGGTGGGAAGGAGGCAGGAGTAGTTGGTGGTGCATGAGAAAGAAGCAAAGTCAGTGAGGGCTTGCCATCAGACAAAGACATTTAAATTTGATTTGGAAAGTAATAATTTATAAATGAATTGATCTCAGGAGGGAAATGCTTTCCAAAAGCTCTCTATTGTTTTTCTGTTTCTTGTAGCTTCCACTCAGTGCTTTTTGCTTGTACCTGGTTAAATCAAAAATTTCCTGTCTAGTCTCCTTCCAGGAGGAAGGAAGGAGAAGGAGGAAGGAAATCCTCTCCTTCAAACAATATCTTCCTCACATTAAGATCTATGATGGTATCATATTTTTCTTTTCCTTATCATTCCATTTTATTTAAGCTTTAGCTAAATTCATTTACTTATGGCCTCTTGGAGGAGGAGGGAACCAGGAGGAATGTGCTTCTAACTCTTCCTTTGCAGATGACATTCCCTTGGGCTAGAAAATGATGTCTTTCTACTTCTTATTCCAGCTATAGAACAGTATTTTATCCACTGAACCAACTTGATTTATTTTCTCTTTAAGCATTCCCTCTTGGGACTGTGGAGGTCTAGATTTCCTTAATGATCTTGTGTTTGTGTCTGATATTATCTGACGGATTTTTTTTTAATTATTATTTTGTACTTGTTCTATCCATAGAGTGAGTGAGTGAGTGAGTGAGTGTGTGTGTGTGTGTGTGTGTGTGTGTGTTTGAGCTGACTGATGGCTTATCTCCTACAGAAGATGATTTTATTAAAGATGCAAAGACATATGGAGGCTGGAAAAACATGCTCAGGAAGAGAATTTTTAAAAATCTTGCACCGAAAGACAGTAGAAAAGGTAGAACAGACGCTGTCTAGGCAGTTTATCTTAGAATCTCTTGCATATGAAAGCAGCTAGATGGTGAACTGATAACTGGTATATAAGATGAATAAAATAACCAGTCGGTATATAGTAAAATGCATGGTTGCATGAGCAGAGACCACCAGATGAGAAGTAACTGAATGTAGAGCGAAAAGTGAAAACAAAATCAGTCACTGCGTTTCTAGTAAGTGTGAGAAGCTACG